AATATATTTTTAAGTTAGGTTGTGTGATGCCTCCAGCTTTGTTCTCTTTGTTCAGGATTGCTTTGGCTACTTGGGGTCTTTTGTGGTTCTGTATGAATGTTAGGATTGTTTTTTCTATTTCTGTGAAGAATGGTCATTGTTATTTTGACAGGGATTGCATTGAATTTGTATATTGCTTTGGGTAGTGGTACCATTTTAACAATATTAAGTCTTCTGATCCTTGAGCATGGAATGTCTTTCCATTTTTTGGATGTTCTCTTCTGTTTCTTTCATCAATATTTTATAGTGTTTATTGTAGAGATCTTTCAGCTCCTTGGTTGATTTTATTCCTAGGTACAGTGTTTTTAGCTCTTACAGTAGAGATAAAATTGCTTTACATACTCCCAGTGTTAGAGTATTCTGAATATGACTATGTATTACTTATACCATTGAGATTTTTACCTTTGTATTTTAAAAATATTATTTTTTTAGGGAGAAAATCTTGCTCTGTCACCCGGGCTGGAGTGCAGTGGTGCTCTCATAGCTCATGGCAGCCTTAAATTCCAGGTCTCAGGCAATCTTCCCATCTCAGCTTCCCAAGTAGCTAGGACTATAGGTATGTGTGATCATGTTGGCTAATTTTTAAAATTTTTTGGTAGAAACTGGGTCTCACTACATCTACATTTTTTATGTTAATAGTCCACATCATTTTATTTCAACTTAAAGAACTTGCTTTAGGCTGGGCATGGTGGCTTATCCTTGTAATCCAAGCACTTTGGGAGGCTGAGGCAGTAATAATTACTTGAGGTCAGGAGTTCAAGACCAGCCTGGGCAACATAGCAAGACCGTCTCTAAAAAATAAAATAAAATAAAACAATTAGGTGGGCATGGTGGTACCCACCTGTAGTGCCATCTACTTAGGAGGCTGAGGCAGGAGGACTGCTTGAGCCCAGGAGTTTAAGGTCACAGTGAGCTATGATTATGCCACTGCACTGCAGCCTGAATGACAGAATGAAACCCTGTCTCAAGAAAAGAAAAAAAGAAGAACTCGTTTTAGCAATTCCTGTAGAGTAGACCTAGTGGTGACCTAGTAGACCTAGTTAGCTTTCATTAATTTGTCCCTCATTTCTGAAGGACAGATTTGCTGGGTAAAGTATTCTTGGTTGGCAGGTTTTTTTCACCTCAGCACTTTGAGTATATCATCCCACTCTCTCATGAGGGTTCTCTTCAGAGACTCTCTCAGAAACCCTTCAGGGTTTCTGCTGCAGAAATCCCCTAATAGCCATTTTAAAACTCCCTTGAATGTGGTGTGTTTCTTATCTTTTGCTGCTTTTAGTAAGATTTGTTTGTCTTAGATTTTTGATAATTTGATTATAATTCATCTTTGGGTTGAGTTGAATTCATCTTTGGGTTGAGTTTGATTGAAGACTGCTCAGCTTCCTGTACCTTGATATTATCATATTTCCCAAGATTTGGGAAATTTTCAGCCATTATGTTATTACCTTAAATATGCTTTTGTGCCCTTTTCTTTCTTTCCTACAGAAACTCCTATTATGCATAGGTTGGTTCTCTTGATAGTGTCCCATACATCTTGTAGGCCTTTATTATTTTTCATTCTTTTTGCTCCTCTGACTGGATAATTTCAAATGTCCTATCTTTGAGCACATTGATTTTTTCTTCTACTTGATCAAGTCTGCTGTTGAAGCTTTCTACTGAATTTTCCATTTCAGTTATCATATTTATCTCTAGGATTTCTGTTGTTTAAAATTATTTTTATTTCTGTTAAACTTCTAGTTTTGTTCATTGTTTTCCAAATTTCATTTAATTTTGTGTCCATATTTTCTTGTAGTTCCCTGAACTTCTATAAAATAATTATTCTGGATTCTTTGTTAGTCATTTCATAGATCTCTAGTTCTTCAGGTCCACTATTGGAACTTTATTAGTTTCTTTTGGGGGTGTCATATTTCCTTGATTTTTCATAATTGTTTTGCCCTTGCATTGGTGTCTGTGCATTTGAGGGATGGCCACCTCTTCTAGCTTTTGCTGGTGTTCTTTGGCAATGGTAGACCTTCATTATTTAGTCTAGCATGGAATTCTGGTTAGGGAAGTTGGTGGTGACCCTGGACAGGTATACCTTGCTGTCATGTTCTCTACTTGGGGTGGGCTGTGCTGGGGTTGAGTAGAACTCTGGCTGTGCTCTGTGGTCTGATGAGACTACTGGCTAGACTCTGTAGTAAGACAGAGCTGCTGGTTGGGCTCTGTGATCACCTCTGATAAAGCAGTGTTATAGGTTGTCTTCTCCGGCTGGCCAGTTCTGCATCTTGGGTTTTGTGGTTGTGCAGCACCATGTGCTTGGCTCTGAGGCTGAGCAAGTTCTCTGGGGTTGCTGCTAAGCCCCATGGGTGGGCAGGGCCAGAGGCTATGCTCCACAGATATGCATGGACGTGGGCTTGCCTCCCATCCTAGTGTAGCCTTAAGCAGAATACTGAGGCTTGGTGTACTAGCCATTTGGCAGCTGGGACTGGGTGGGCCAGATACTTTCTTTGTGGATAATCACCAACCTGCCCCCTATCTCCCAGCGTGGGGAATTTTCAAGGAGAGCACCAGGGCTGGATGTGGAAGCCAGTCAAGGATTCAAGCCCGGGAAACCCATTGACTGTACTTCCTGCAGAGTGATGCTGTTGGCTGGCCTCTCTGGTGGTGATCCTCTGCTTCTGGAATGCAGACAACTACTAAGGTCATTGTGAACTACACCCCTTTTGTTTGTTTTTAATCGACCTTGGGTTGTCTGGCTCTGCTGATACCCCCAATGTTTCCTATGGGGTGAGGCAAGAGAGTGCCTTGCGCGAAGGGTCCCAGACTGGTGGGAAAGGTGAATGTTCACCTTGAACTCTCTCCTCCCTCTGTGAAAACCATGAGTCCTGGGGAATTCTCTATGTGTGGTGCTGTGCTGGCTTGGGGGAGGGCTAACATAAGTCAAAATGAAACTGTTCCCCTTACCCATTGTGTGTGACTGTTCTGAGTTCTGTGGTCCCAGGGATTGTCTCAGGCTCACTTCCAAGTTCTGGGACATTCATGAGGGTATTCTCTTCTGTGGATAGTTGCTAGTTGGATTTCTGTGGTGGGTAAGAGAGTCAGAGTACATTTTTATACCACCTTCTTGCTGATGTCACTCTCCCATCTAATGTTATTTAATTGGAAAAACAAAAGATCTTTAATCTTTAATATATGAGACTGGAATTATTTCATCACCAACTCCTAACTGCCATAATTTTTCTTATCAGTATTCCATTTTACTTTGTTTGTAAAACACGTGGATAAAATAGGTCACCATAAAAATGAATTTTGGTAAACAATCTCTTATGTGTATCTTTGTGTATCCCTCTGATTGTTTCCTTCAGATAGAGTCCTAGAAGTAGATTCAGGATTATCAGTATTATTTCCGCTACAATTGATAGGAACCCATTTTGAACTAATTTTAAAAACAGGGAAGAGGACTGAATGGAGAAGTCTGGTGGGAAGGCAGCTGGAGGCACTGTTGGATGCAGGACTTATGCCGGTGGCCTCAAGATTCTCTTTCTGTCTTTCTCCATCTCTTGGCTCTGTTTCCTTTCTTTTTTTTTTTTCTTTGCCTGATGAGTTTTCTTCCTGTGGTGGAAAAGATGGTCGGATTTATATTCTTCCAGCTTAAAACCCCATCTAAGAAGTGTAGGGGCTGATTACAAGCAACCTTAATTGGGTCACATGCCCATTGCTGAAACAGTCACCGTGGACACTAAGAGGCCAATCCTGGGTCATGTAACCACCCCAGCCAGGGACTGGGTGTGGGAGTGAGCGCTACCCAATCATGCTCTGAAAATGGAGGTTTCTGAAAAGGAAAGGTAAGTCTGTTCCCAAAAGGAGGGGCGCTGGGCTGGCAGAAATGACAGCTGTGCACTATGATCGTTTGTGCGTTGTGGCATGTATTGTCAAGTCGGCATCCAGGTTGGCTGGAGCAGCGAGCAGCTCAGTGGCAGTGTGTGGGATGCTTGGACAGTGGGCTTAACGGGAGAAGCTGACTGCTAACTAAGCCTGGGCCAAGAGATTTCTGTCGTCCACAGCTACACAAAGGAAGCAATGTGAAGTTTTCACTGATGATTTCCTTAAATGGAAATAAAACAACCAGGAAGTCATGCACTTTAGGGAGGCTAACACTGAGAGCAATCTTCACGAAACTAACTGTAGGTAGTTGCTCTGCATTGAAACCTACGTGTCACTGGTCACCCCTCAGCAGCTGGAGCTTCTTCAGTACTCCTTATCTGGAGTAGCTTCTCAAACTTTAATGTGCGCATGGATTACCTAGGAATCTTGTTGAAATGTAGCTTCCAGTGCAGTAGGTCTGCAGTGGGGCCTAATATTTTGCTTTTTTAACAAGCTCCCGGGTAATGCAGTTGCAGCTGGTCCAATGAACCACCTTTGTTAGCAAGATATTAGACCAGTGCTTTCCAACCTTTTAGCAAAACAAAACAAAAATATTCAGGACCCCATTTTCCTCAAGATAATTGTAGTCTTAGTATCCATTAGTTGAGAAAACACTGAAAATTACCATGCATTCAGAAAAGATTTTACAGGAACTTTCATTTTTATAGTCATGACAACATCTGTCTACATTTTGGCACCTTTTGCAGAATACTAAAGGGCTGAGTGTTAAAATCAATATTTAGTCCCCATTGAGGCCATCTGCCCCTCACTTTTCCTTACATGCATGCCAGTTTCTTCATTTTTACTGGAATTGAAGGACAGGAGGGCCTCTACAGGAGGTACCGTATGAGAAATATTTGGATTCTTAGAAGGTCTTTGAGTTTGGTTACTTCTTCAGCAGGTTCCAGTGAATAAACTGCAGGTAATAAGTTCTGCAAATTATAGAGATAAGGCTTTTGTGGTTATTATTGTTCGAGTACTCTTTTAAGCATACAATGTCTGCTCTTTCATGGTTTTTTATTTTTTTTATTTTTTTTTTCTTTTTCTGGGTCATCCTTTAGCTTGTATCTTTCATGGTTTTTAAACATCTTGTAAAAGTACCTGACAAGGCAATTCCAGAACCTCTTTGGTGTCATGTAGTGTGCTCTTGACTGATGAAGAATGATGAAACTGGCCCACTATCTTTTTTCTTTGGTGAGATTTCTTTTACATTCTGTTGTACTATAATTACTTCCTGAATACATATATGAAGAATATGAACAAATTTCTCTATACAGGATAGCCTACCTACCATGGCAAAATAAGAACATGGGGCTTTGGGTTAAAAAACAATGTTAAGAATTCAGTTTGGCTAATTTTTTCTCTTAATTCAGTTTGGGAACAGGAGAGCAGTAAATGAAGCCTGGCTCTCGTGGTGCCTGTGCCATGGCGCAGACTGCATGCGTATGGAGCCAGCCCTGACCATCTGTGTTGGTGATTCTTTTTTTTTTTTTTTTTTAGAGACAGAGTCTCGCTTTGTTGCCCAGGCTAGAGTGAGTGCCGTGGCGTCAGCCTACCTCACAGCAACTTCAAACTTCTGGGCTCAAGCAATCCTTCCTCCTCAGTCTTGTGAGTAGCTGGGACTACAGGCATGCATCACCATGCCCGGCTAATTTTATCTATATATATTAGTTGGCCAATTAATTTATTTCTATTTATAGTAGAGATGGCGTCTAGCTCTTGCTCAGGCTGTTTTCGAATCCTGACCTTCAAGCATCCACCTCCTCGGCCTCCGTTGGTGATTCTTAAACCATTCATAGTTTCATCTTCTTAACCCATTGTCTGTGACAACTGTATGGCATTGATATTTTAAAACTGGTTTTCCAGTCTGTAAATGTTTCTCAATCAGATTCACAGCAGAGAATCCTGACTCAGATTATCATTAATTTACCATGCCCTGTTAAGTTTAATAAGAGACTGTGGTATTTTTGCCTGCTCAAAGCTTGAAGATACACCATATAGAAGTACACACTTAAAGCTACTGGGTTTTTTTTGTTGTTGTGTTTGTTTTTTTTTGGTGCATGGCAGAATATATAGGAAAATTATCTTTAGACCTGTTTCTAGAAGTAATGTTTTTTCTGCTATTCATATGTGGGCAAGTCTCAAAAGTTGAGAGTTTTTCTCAACTATTAATTGAGGCAGTCTAAAGCGATCCTTTGGACAATAATTTTTAGCTTCTTATAATGCTAAACATTACAAAGAGCAGTGTTCTTTTTTTTTTTTTTGAGACAGAATCTCACTCTGTTGTCTGGGCTAGAGTGCCTTGGTATCAGTCTAGCTCACAACAATTTCAAACTACTGGGCTCAATCCTCCAGCCTCCAGCCTCCTGAGTAGCTGGACTACAGGCACACGCCATTTTGCCCGGCTAATTTTTTTTAATTTTTCTAGTTGGCCAATTAATTTCTTTCTTTTTTTGAGACAGAGTCTCACTCTGTTGCCCTGGCTAGAGTGCTGTGGCATCAGCCTGCTCACAGAAACCTCAAACTCCTGGGCTCAAGCAATCCTTCTGCCTCGGCTCCGAGTAGCTGGGACTATAGGCATGCACCACCATGCCTGGCTAATTTTCTATATATATTAGTTATCCAATTAATTTCTTTCTATTTATAGTAGAGACGGTTCGCTCTTGCTCAGGCTGGTTTCGAACTCCTGACCTTGAGCAATCTGCCCACCTCGGCCTCCCAGAGTGCTAGGATTACAGGCGTGAGCCACCATGTCCAGCCAAGAACAGTGTTCTTTTTTTTTTTTTTTTTTTTTGAGACAGAGTCTCACTTTGTTGCCCAGGCTAGAGTGAGTGCCGTGGCATCAGCCTAGCTCACAGCAACCTCAAACCCTGGGCTCAAGTGATCCTCCTGCCTCAGCCTCCGAGTAGCTGGACTACAGGCATGTGCCACCATGCCCGGGCTAATTTTTTTTGATATATATTAGTTGGCCAATTAATTTCTTTCTATATTTAGTAGAGACGGGTCTCGCTCTTGTTTCAGGCTGGTTTCGAACTCCTGAACTCAAAGATCCGCCCGCCTCGGCCTCCCAGAGAGCTAGGATTACAGGCGTGAGCCACCGCGCCCGGCAAGAACAGTGTTCTTGATTCATTTGTGCACTCTGTGATTTTTGAAGTTTGATTAGTAAGATCAAACTGTACCTTTTCTCTAGACCTTTTCTTTTTTCCCCAGCTTTTTAATATTTTTAGTGTATCTAGATTGAATAATGATTTATTATTGATTTTGTAGTATATATTTTAGAGTTTTTCCTTTTTATTTCAAAATATTAAGGGAGTACAGATGTTTTAAGTTGCATGGATCGCTTTTGTAATGCTTGAGTCTGACTATAGGTGTGCCCGTCACCCAAATAGTGTTCATTGTACCTACCCTTAGGTAGATTTTTGCTCCTCCCCTTTGCTCCTCCTCCCTTATATGATATTTACTCTCTCTCTCTCTCTTTTTTGGCTGCTTCAGGATTCTCTGTTTGTCTTTGATCTTTTTGACAGTTTGATTGTAAGATATCATGGAGTTGTCTTATTTAGATTGAATCTGATTGAGATCTTTGACTTTCCTGGTCCTGGATATTTATATTTTTCCGAGGTTTGGAAATCTTACTGTTATTATTTATTTAAACATACTTTCTCTGCCTTTTCCTTCCTCTTGAACACCAATGAACCATACATTTGCTTTCAAATATTATGCTATAAATTCCATAGCTTTCTTTATTCCTTTTCATTCCCTTTTCTATTTTTGCTTCCAAGTTTATATTTTTAATTAATCTGTCTTTGAGTTCACAGATTCTTTCCTCCGCTTGATCAGTGCTACTGTTGATGTTGTATATTGCATTTTGTATTTATTTATATTTTTTTAGTTCCAGGATTTTTTTATTTTTAAAATTATTTAAAATTTCCTGTTAAATTCTCCTGATAAATTTCTGAATTGTTTCTTTGTCTTTTCTTGAATTTCATAAAGCTTCATTAAAACAGCTTTTTAAAATTTTTTGTGTGGCAATTTTTTCATCTCTGTATCTTTAGGGTCAGTCATTGGCACTTTAATTTGTTCATTTAATGATGTCATGTTTCTTTGATTGATCTCGATCCCCATGGCTATGCATCGATATCTGTGTATTGACAAAGGTACTTAATCCAGTCTTCACAGTCTGGCTGTTTGGAATCTTCTTTCATCAGTAAGCCTATCTAGAGATTGAGGAGAGGCTAACTGGTGAGAACTCTAAGCTTGTGACTGCTTCATGTCGCAGTTCTCGGGGCACCCTAAGCCCACATCACCATGACTGGAACCCTTTGGCTGCTGAGGCTGGAGCAACCCTGGATCACACCTGAAGCTCACGGCTGCCAAGACACAGCATGGGGCGTGCCCAAGGCCGGTGGCTGCTGTGGCGGGCCTGCTGCTGAGGGTTATTCAGGGCCCAAGAACACTGCGGTTGGCTGGCAGTGAGACAGGCCAGATCTCAAGTCTGTCTTGCTAGGGCTGTGAGTTATTGTCTGGCACTGGGGTGGGTTGAGAGTGGCCTCTGGGTACTGGCCTAGTGTCAAGAGCAGGCGTCCTCAAACTACGGCCCTCGGGCCACATGCGGCCCGCCGAGGACATTTTATCTGGCCTGCTGGGTGTTTTTGCCACAGCTGCCTGCCCTGCTTAGCAGCCGCCTCGTCCCGGGCCCACAGTGCGCACTCTCCAACGGTCTGAGGGACAGTGAACTGGCCCCCTGTTTAAAAAGTTTGAGGACCCCTGGTCAAGAGAGATTGGGTTCTGCCTGGTACTGAATTTTACTATAGTAGATCAGTACTAGGTTCCAAGGAAAAGTCCTATGCTTACTTCCTTTGCCCCACAAGCAAACAGTGTCTGTCTTCACGCTGCTCTGCCTGGGGTTGGGGGAGTGGTGACAAAGGCAATCCCATGGCCACTGAGGTTGACACAATATTGGATCACACCCAAAGCCCACTGTCACTGAGACCATCCCAACACTGGGATGTGCCTCCTGCCCGTCGGTGCTACAGCCTGCCTGCTGCTGTTCATCTGAGGCCCACGACTGCCGCAGTCATCAAGCAGTGATGCAGGCCAGAAGACAAGTCTGTCCTGCCAGGCTGCAGGTTCCCTTCTGGGACCGAATGGGTTGAAAGGCTCCCTCTGTGGGAACCAGCCCGGTGTCAGGGGCTGAGGGCTTCAGCCCCATGCTGGGTTTTATAGAGGTGTGCACAGTACTGGGTTGCGAAGCAAAGTCCTATGCTTACTTCCCTCTCCTTCCCCAAGAGGATGTTCAGTGCTAGGATATGGCAGTCCACTCTGAGGAAGAACAGATGGCAACGTGTGGGACCGCGGGCAGGGAATGTCTAGCCTCGTTGCCATTTCCAACCTATAGCTTTATGAGTCAATCTCCCCAAACATTTATTTTCCTCTAAGACTTGGCTCTTTGGAATCATAACTGACTACTTGAATATACTTTCCCCTTTTTCTAACCCTTACCTACCTGCATTGTATATTCACAGAGGTCCCGCTGTACCTGGCTCACGCGAGCTCTTCCTGGAAGTGAAGTCGTGCAGTCCCAACCACGGGCCAGGCAGCCTTGGCCTGGGGGTTTTGGAGTGATCACTAACAGGCAAGGTGTTTGGGTTTCTGAGGAGAACCTGCCATCAATCCTGGCCGAATCTCAGTTCGCAGTGGAACCCAGTGAGAAGAAGGACGCGAACGACAACATGAAGAGGGAGAGAGAGCGGC